GAGAGAGAGAGAGAGAGAGAGAGAGGAGGCAAACACATGGGAGAGAGGGAGGAGGAAGAGCATGACAACATCAAATGTGATGAGAGAGAGTATTGAGGTGAGAGAAAAAGCCACCTTCTATCAGGTATCAGGAGAGAGAGAACGTCACACTAATGAGAGAGAGAATTTTGAGGTTTCCAAAAAGCCCACCCTATGTCAGCCGTCAGGAGAGAGAGGACGTTACATCAATGGAATGGTTTGAATTTTGCAACAATATCGCTAGCCGTTCAATCCATGATCAGTGGTTAATCACCGTTGGTGTATTCTCCTTAAATACACGAGGCTGCTTACCCTATCTTTTTCCTATATATATATATGGGTGTAGTTGGTATACGGACGCCGACGTAGGTGTAGAGGTACAATGCCCTTCAAATTTTATCATGGTATATAATTTTGATGTAAAATGTTATTAGGATTTTCTTATATCTAATTATAAAATTTTAAATTTCAAAATGGTTCAATTCAAGTATATCTTTAAACATATGAAAATCTTGAAAATGGACGGTGTAGATGATATGTTGTAAAATGCACTATTTTTTAGACTTAAAATCTTTTTAATTTTGATAGTCATACATCTCGATGTCAAGATGATCAATTAAAGGGTTTTTCAACATTAAAACTACCTTTTTCGATGAATTTTTTAGGGGCATCCGTAGTTTCTACATTATAAGGTAACATCCTTATATAAACATTTTCCTATATATATATATGAGTAATGATCCTATGAGACCCTCCCACACCCATGTGTGTAAGACCCCAAAAGATCAATATTAAATTTGGTACAGATCTCTAAAAAGGTTATCACATGGGTATGGGATTTGACTTTTCTTGAGATCTGTGCCAAATTTAATGATGATCCTTTAGGATCCTACACACATGACTGTGGGAGAGTCTCATAGGATCATTACTATATATATATATATATATATGGAAAATTCTTCCCAACACCTATAGGCGAAAATGAACAGTGATTTCACATATGCTCATCACCGTCCAAAGTTCATCGCACCCCCATAGTTGTTCAGTAGTGTTTCGATTTTTATTATCTTTTTATAAATCAGAATGATCTAAAAATTGGATTGTATGTTCATTAAAAAGAGAAGAATCTAATAAAAATATAAAAAATAATAATTTACACAATATAAATTGATCAAAATATCCTTGAAAATTTACAGGGGCATTTTGATCACTTTATATTTTGAAAAATATTTTTTTCATATTTTTATTAGGTGCATCTCACTAAGATGTACACACTCTCCAAAATTTAGATAACTCCAATTTTTGAAAAAAAAAATGAAAAATGAAACACTACCTGACAATCGTGACCGTGCGATGAACTTTTGACGGTGATGAGCATAAGTGAAATCACTATTCAATTTATAGTTTTAAAATTATTGTTTTTATATTTTTATTAGGTGTGCCTTGATGAGAAGAATAAACGCTTAAAATTTCAAGTGATTTGGATTTGTAGAAAATAAAAATAAAAATTCATATACAAAATGAGATTGTAACCGTCAAATCAGCCCAAATTGAATCTGAACCATTAGTTGATACTATAGCTATTAGCATGTGGGTGGCAAGATCTTTCCCACCCCCCCCCCCCCCACACACACACACACACACACACACACACACACACACACACACACACACACACACACACACACACACACACTA